TCTCTAAACCACCCTCTCTAAACCACCCTCTCTAAACCACCCTCTCTAAACCACCCTCTCTAAACCACCCTCTCTAAACCACCCTCTCTAAGCTACCCTCTCTAAACCACCCTCTCTAAACCACCCTCTCTAAACCACCCTCTCTAAACCACCCTCTCTCAACCACCCTCTCTAAACCACCCTCTCTAAGCTACCCTCTCTAAGCTACCCACCTGGCCTAATCCCGTCAATAATTATACGCACTCTCTCACCATCAAGTCATACGATAGACACACACCTGCAGTCACTCCGTCCGGCCAAGAAAATTGATTGCCTGCTTCACCATCTCCATTCGTAATTCGCAGTTAAATAGTTCGGCTAGACCCATGAGAATACACGAAACTGTCCAATCGATCGACAACCTGAGTGCAATGGCTGACCCTGACGCTCAGTCCATGCGCGACTGTATAGTCCTCTCCATCATCGATGTGTTTGGGATCTCTTACTTCTACCTCTTTATGATCCATTTCTTACTCTTCCACTTCCCCTCATCCCCGGCAGAGATTTTAGTCGCGATGTCTGTGCTCGTCTTCTGCGCGGGCGTTATAATCTGGTGCTTGTTGAGTCTCGTCTATCGTGTTCTACATGCTTTCCAGGGCAACGATGCTGTCGAGTTGCAGAAGCTGGAGTTCGCAGGCGCTCTAGTTATGATCTGGACCGCTACCATCCCCTCGGCGGTTTTGCTGTTTCGCACCCAGCCTTCTCTCCAGCTGGGATACCTTTGTGCTTTTACCATCCTGGCGGTCGGGACTCTGGTGGACTTTTTGATCTGGGATTCCAGTCATGACGCCCGGTACAGGTTCCCGTACATTTGCGTTTCATTGGGCTTGCTGTCCCTGATACCAATCATTCACTCCCTGACTGGGACGCCCCAAACTTCTCCGTCACTGGCGATACACTATGGCCGATTCACCATGTGGAACTCCCTTGGCGCCGCCTTTTACCTGCTTCGGCCGTTGGAGAGGACTGGTGCGGTTTCTGGCTGGCGGCCCAGTCTCTACGTCATGCATATCGTCCTGGCATACAGCGCTGTCACTTATTCCAGAGTTATTTTGCATACGGTACTTGAATACGCAGCTTAGACTTCATTTGGATAATTATCGACAAGTTGTACCACACCTCGATATAGGGCAAATTTTTGCATGCTTGGAGGCCAGAATGAACCAACCGCAACCGCCTATTGAGAAGAGGATGTGGTCGATGCTCACTTTTCAAGGGCCTAGTGACTGTATATCTATTTGACACACGTTGATATTGCGCACAACATATTTCAGATGGTTAGATCAATATGACACTTGTTTTGTTTGGCAAATTTCGCATTGGTAATTTAGTCGCTTGTATCGATCGTTTATTGACATCAAATGCATCTTGCTTGACAAAAGACGTGTTGTTTTCGCCAAGCCGGCTGACTGCCTTTGTCAAGGTACAGACTTTATTCCCGTCCGCCTTTGATGCAGGTCAGGTCTGAACTGGCCATGACTACTCATTGAGCCAAATTACCGAAAAATTGCCATTTTGTTGAAATCGTAATTAAACATCAATTTAATTTAAACGTTCAAATCGCGCCATTAAATGCGACCGTTTCGACGCACGCTGGGTTGTGTGCCCACTCACGCGCTACCCGTTGCCCCACAACATCCGGGGGATGAGCCTGGTTGTCACCCGGTTGAACGTTCTTCGTTTTGCCCTTGACTGGCTCTGGCAACCGCCGTGGCCAATAAGTCGGAAGTCGCTCACAAGGATATGGGCGCGTAGATCAAGAACGTTCACTAGTAAGATTCAAATTGAGCCTAGTTCGATTTTCTTCCAGCGTGAAGCTCGACATGTCTTGCGCCAACTGGGTCAAAATGCTTTCTTTGTCTGCCTTGGTTTAACTAGGGGCCAAGTGTACAAACCAACCACGCCTGCCTCTTAAATCGCAAACTGCCCTGAAATAATTGATGCCGTGAGCAGATGTCTGCTCTCCCAGTACGATGCTGGAGAAGTTGCCGTGTGAGATCCTGATGCTGATCGCGGATTGGGTAAGTCCGCCCGCCGTGTTTGATTTGTTTGATAATTTCGCTGACCGCCCGCCAGCTGCCACCGGCCAGCCTGCGCGCCCTCAGCCGAGCTTCGTCTAGATTGTATTCTATCCTGATTCCTCAGATCTACCGCACCATTGCATACCGCGCAGACAGCGAGTGGGCTCTGAACGTGCTGGATGTTGGCTCCTTCTTCCTCCACCTCGGCCACTCTCGTGCCGCGGATTATCTACAACACGCGCGACACCTGCAGATCCAGGCTCCATTCCACCTCGTCCGGTTCAACCGATGTGCGTACTACAACATATTTCGTACGGCGGGACTGCCGGTGTCCCCAAATACGCTGGGAGCCTCGGATGAGGTGACGGCCCATGCGCGATTTCTGGACGACGTGCAGGGTCAACTACAGCTAATCTTCACCCACTTGAAGCCGAATAGCCTGAGCACTTTCGAGTTCGTATGAGCAGGCGTCCGTTTCCAGATTCGTCACTAACTGCAATAGATGGCGTCTGGGGACATGTGTCCCGATGGGAGTCCTCGACCAGGGCGGCTATCTCAGCAGGTACCAACGTCGCCTCACCCATCTCTCACTCGTCACCGACGGCACCTGCCCTCATGAATGGCACCACCTAGAAGGGCTATCCGAACTTTCGTGTCTGACGGCCTTTGAATGGGAAGGAATCCAACACCCGACCGAGGCTGATCTGCTGCGACAGTGCATCCGTCACAATTGGAGCTATCTCAACCACCTGTCCATCGGCTTTGTTCCGTCCGCTTTCGCCGGTGCTTTGTGCTGGGAGAGTCTTGGGCTGCAGCAGCGAGAGCTGAGGGTCGATGATACAGTATTCGAGAAGCCCACAGCCGTTCCGGCCTTGTCCACCCTGTTACTGTCCAAGGTGACACTTCCACCAGACCTCTCATCAGAGGGGATCTCGATGTTCTGCGCCCTGCGAGCGCTTACACTACGGGACTGCCCGAATCAGCTGCTTCTCTTGGAGTTGCTGTCTCAATCACGCAAGCCGCTGCAACTGGAGCATTTTGAAATTTCGTATGATTTCCTGCTGCACGAGCCGGGCAATCGGAGCTTCCCTGCAATCGTGCGATTCCTTTGTTCGTTTCGTGGACTGCAGCATCTTCATATAAGGCTGTCTAATTTTCCAGCGTCAAAGTCCCGCATCGAGGACGCCATCAGACACCACCGCACGACATTGAAAAGCCTTGTCTACCACGAGCGCCAACTCTCTCCGGTCGATGAGGATGGTTTGTTTGAGGATGACAGGGACGTATCGCCCGTGTGGATTGCAGATTTGTCTACCATTGTGGATCTAGGTCGGGTGACTGCTCTGGCCCTATGTGCAAGTCCTTCTGCAGCAGTGAGTCTTCGGCAGCCCGGCCCATATGTGTATGCTAATGAAAAAAGCGGCGGTGCCTACGTCCAACGGCGAAGCGTTCTCAGATCCGACTTTTACACTTGCGGTTTAGCGGTCCCGAGCGAATACATCGAGACATCCAACGAGAGATCATCACCTTCCTGCATGAGAAACGCAGATTGTATCGCCGAGGCTTTCGCTTGCACGGGAGTCCCGTGAATCCGGATACCGGGTGCTCCCATGAGAATAGTGACGATGGTCGCATTCTCAACGCGTACTTTGATCGGTCGCCATTCGAGTATATAGATCTGCAAGAAGCAGTGCTCGAGTCTTCGGTGGCTATTGCGGAGGCTGAGGAAATTGTGTCATTTGCCGAATGGGCTTTCGGCCCCGGCGGACTGCCAGCTCTGCGGGTCCTTGCTTTCGGCGACTTCTCCCACGGTGATCGATACAGTGGGCAGCAGTTTCTGTTGCGTCGTACCTGTCTTGCATGGGACTTTGCCGGCAAGAGTGTCGCCGGCGATACATGCGACGATACGATGCGAGTGCCATTTCGACCGGCGGATATGGCTGATCCTTCCATTTGGGATGGTGTTTCGGTGGAGGGGGCTCGGTTTCTCTCTGCGTGTCCAGGGGGTGGGTTGATGGAGTCACCGTACGAGCTGTAGATCTGTTTCCTCGGCTTTTTTCATTGCTCCTACTGCCTCGCAACGCGACATTTCAAGTTACAAATTGGGTTAGATAACTCTGTCAAATATTGCCATCGTCTGCCTCGTTAAACTTGGTACCAAGAATCATACCTGCGCAGCTCTGGTGCGATCTAGTGCTGCCTACGAGAGGCGCTCAAGCCACGCATAAATTCGTAAGCCTCATAAAGCCATTTTCTAGGCCATTCAGCCGATGATATTGACTCGTTGGCAAGTTGAGCAGTCACGGGCGCTCGCATCTCCTTTTCTTCCATCGCGTATTTCTTTGTACCCTAGTCTCGGGGCACATACGGTTGAGCCGGTCCAGCGAGTTCTTACGCGCCACGCGATTTCATGCCCGCCCTCAGAAAAGCAGCACGATTAGTTGTAACCGATAACGCAGAAAGCTTCTCATTTTGAGGTCATCATTTAGTTGTGTCTACTTATAATGAGAACGTTTCGATGCCGGCCGGTTTACCGTGGTACCTCCGATAGCTGAAGAGAATTACCCGTGACCACCAGTCCATTCAAGAGCTATTCCACCGCAGCATGGCGTATGGTATATAAGAACCTACTTTCTTTAGCATGAAGCCATTCCTCTGCCTTGCCATTGAAAAACAAGAGAGCCTCTACGTCTCTTGAACCAACCCAATGGACGCTCCTGCTTCGTACTCCCATTCGGGACAGGCCAACAAAAGAAAGCGAGAGTCATCAGATCTTGATGAGAAGCCAGTAGGGACACCAGAAAGTTCCAAGCAAGCGACATGGTCCTCGAAACGAACGCCACCCAAGGGGGCAAAGGTTAGACCTCTCCGAGTCCCTGTTTGACCGACTCTGACCATAATACAGACATTTTCGATTGATAGTGCATGTTCGTTCACCTGTGACTTGTTCGAAATTCTGCAAGAAAAGCCCTCTTTAGCGTCCTCTGCTGTCGACCTCTTGGACCTCTATCTCTGTCTGTGGGAGTGCTACATGATCAAGTCTGCCGGAAAAATACGCTTGGAAGAGGAGCGCCGCTTCCTGCAAAGCTCCAACGAATGGTTGATGAAAGAGAACGAAAAGCTTCATCAATGCTGTACCAATCAGGAATTGTTATTGTGGGATCGTCGTCAGGCTTTTGTTTCGGTACACCAGGGAGTTCTCGCAACATTGCAAAATAGTGACAGACGGTTTCACCAGACAAGTGAGCTTCCGTGAGCTAAGTGGAGTCTAACCGAACTTGTGGCTTTACCGTTGAACTGGATGGGCAGACAATGAACGGGTCGGAGGGGTTGGTTGAACCGGATGGGTCTTGAGTGGGGCATTTCTCAGGCACACGGTCGGTCAATGAATGGGCAGTTCCACTTTGAACGAACATCACAAATCGATCAATTTATAGACCGGTCGAGTACACACAAGTGTATTTGGTCGAAAATGCCAACTTCCAAATTCCTATTCTTTTCATGCTTTACTTTCTCTTGTCTCGTGCATGTGAACGAACTAGCTGCTAGAAAGTAACCAAGTGACGGCGCCGGCGAAATGCCTGTCAGGCATTCTGGCGTATACATATAACTTGCAACCCACGAGTGCTTTCTTCACAAACCAGCTCTATCCTCAAATCGGCACATGTGGTGCCCAAAGAATGGGACACCTTGATCAAATGGGTATGTTGGGTCAGCTTCAATGATTGGTTTCAGCACTGACAATCTCTTCAGACTGCGACTTGGATCTGGACCTGGATTCAATCTGGAGAGAGTTCCCCAATATGCCCAGCCCACCACCCTGTCTCGCAGCCAACCATCACAGTCTCCGATTAGTCCGACCTAACACCATGCCAAATCATGCAAGATACGGCGAGAGGTCCCCCTTCATCGAATGCCTATTCTATCCTGGCTATGAGAGCGAATGCTCCTTCAGCTGGACTGGACCGGACCCCTTGTCCCCTGACACCTGCACCGATGATCTGTTCCTCTACGTATCGGCATTCTTCATTCTTGAGCGCGTGGACTGGATAGAATTACGGCTCAGCAAGCTCAGCATGGCAACGAAAGAGGTCGTGGAAGAGTACCTGTTTTTCCTGCCACGGGTTGAGTCAATGCTGGGGAATCTACCCAGAGCCCAGGGTCAGATACATGATATCATGTTGCAGAGTAACCGTGTGGAGAGTGTTGGAGAAACCCAATTTCAACTGTCAATGTGGCCACGCACTGAGAGTTCACAGAGCTCTGCTATGCAGGGTACGATCCCTCCATCTTACATTGAGTCTTCCATGCATTTACCATCACTTGACCCGCAGCGTTTTGTGCAAAATATAGTAGGGAACTGGGGGACGTGAGTGATTTAGCCTTGGATCACGCCTTATTTAATTATACGATTGATACGGCTTTGCCACCTACGTCAGGCTATTTCGCCTCTTATTAAGAGTCAAGTTTGTAGCTATGAGGCTTTCCAGGCTCTCCAGTCACTTTTTCAAATCTATCAAGCTTTGCACGTCGCCATTTGAATGACCCTGGCACCATCAAATTGTGGGCCACAAATCCAGCGGCTTCAGCGGCAAATTTCAAGTATTCGATTCATTGCTAAAGAAACATGCCAGCGTTTTATGTCCGCTTACCCAAGAGTGACTTTCTCCTACATATACACTCGGTATTGATTAGCAGACCAGTCCTCTGGATCCACGTTTACGGTGGTTTTAATATTGCTTTGGTCAAGTCGTCTTGAAAAGCAAGATATCTCGACTTTGCCACCAAAGAGCTTAGAATGCACTGGATTTCGATTCATTCCGTAGCTTTTATCCTTGTCAATAACAGTGATATCTCGAATCAAAATGGAAGCGATCGGGGACCAAATCGGCTATCATTTCAAATCAAGCAATCTGCTGCGAGAAGCTTTGCACCCGGCCGGGACCGCTCCATCGTAAGGTAACAAGCGCCTAGCTCTTGTGGGTGGCTCCATACTGTCCGCTTCACTATTGGATCAATGGTATAGCGATGGAAACACCACCGGCACGTTTAACACTGCCTCGGGGGACTGTGTGTAATCCACTAACCTGAAATAGAGGACGGGCACAAGCTCTTAAAGGAGCATGCGTGCAATGAGAACTTGAGTTTACGAGGAGAGAAATTTGGGCTTGATCGGTATATGGAAAGCCACCCAGCACACAAAGGCAAAGTTCCGAAAGGTACGCGGGCGACTACTGTAGAAGCCCTCCTCGGTGCTGTTTGGGAAGACTCGGGGAAGAACATACACGAGGTGGATCGAGTTAGGACAAACCTAGATCTAGGTGCCTGACTTTCCTTGAAGTGGATGGTTTCCATTGATCTTTTGTAGTGCGGTAGGAAAGGAGCGTTCCGATCATCTTTAGTCAGGATCATCCAGATGTTAATCTCAGATTAGTACTTTTCTGTGCATATATCATGTGCTAAATGGGATATATGCTCTTATCACTACATATTATCTATTGAGTAGGCAATCCTGGGTTATTCCACAAACGGTGACAGGTGAATGGAGGCGTGTTATGGCATGCTGTGCTGCCATTCACAGCGTAGTAAGTTTGCCAAAAGTTGGTACAGGATGAGCTTTCATACGACAATTGATCTTTGCTGGAATACCAAGTACAGTACTGTGCTAAGTGGCTCAGTTTGACAGTTGCTCCGATGATCTGGTGATTTCTAGTACATTTCGAACACAGACGGAAGGAAAGACCCTGAAATCTTGCGGATCCACCGTATAAAATTTCCGTCATCATTCCTACAGACAAGATCAATGAAAGCTATCAGGCAAAACTACAAGGGATACACTGAAACTTGGATCGCGGTCTAGAATAATCAGAAGAAGAGAATGTTGTTGTGATATGCGGCTGGTGCAGATCAGGAACCAAGCCGCACCATCGGAATTAGCTCCGAAGTGTCTATACAGACGACCAAGTTGATTGAAAATCAACTTGGCTCATTTTTATATATTGGCTCATTTATCCCTCGGAAATAACAAGTTAATTCATACCTCTGAATTACAACAAATATATAGTGGTTTGTTGTTGGCCACATGATTATGTCTGCTGAGTCATGGCGGTGCACGGGCAAATCACGCATCGCACCCGATCCTAGCCTTTTGAGTGACCGGGGCAGAAGTGAATGTCAATAAACTTCTCATTCCTCTTGGGTGCCCCGTAGAATCTCTTTCATCCTATCATACAATCCTATATCTTCCTTCGTCCATCTCCTCCCATTAGGAAAGACCGCCTTCCGAAGTGTGTTGATGCATGGAATAAGTGGCTGGTAGTACTCTGTGAAGTACTCATTCGCAGACCTCATAAAATCCGCTTCCTCGGATATCTGGCCTGTCTTCAAAAAAGCCAAGTCCTCTGTATCGACAAAATTCCACTTATCAAACCTTGCAACAACTCTTCCGTTACCCGCCCCCTCGTAGTGGATGCAAATCCAAAAGATCACCCAGAAGAATGATTCAAGGTCATGCATAAAAGAGTGCTTCTCGCCCAGAAGTGAGCCAATTGCCATAAAGGCCCTTGTGCCGGTCTTTCCATTTGCTCCCGAGGCACCGTCTCGCTCCTCTCTGATGGCCAAATCAAGATCAATCAAAAACGACGGCCACGACGGGTTCTTTTTGTCTTCATTGATCATGAGATTATTGACTGAGATATCTCGGTGAAGAATTCCTGCCCTTTGCAAAGACTGATGCCCTGTAATGCAACCCTCTAACGCGGCAAGCAAGGCCGAGCGCGTGCTTGCCTTGTAAATTGGTACGCCATAGTCACGCAGGACGACACGCCGATGAACTCGATTTGGCAGTGGGTTGCTGGGTGCCTTGGTAGGAGATGCCGAACAGGATCGCTTGCTAGGTGGCAGAGAGGCACCAGTTTGACTGGAAGATCGCTTTACGCCGGATCTGCCACTGCTCCGGCCTTTTCGCGGAGCAGCGGTTGCACTTGTGCCAGTCGAGAGCGACAATCGTTCTGGCCGATAATTGCTCGCGGTCCTGATGTCCAAGCCGCCTCGAACGTTGTCCCGGACATCATCAGTCTTACCACGGGTACGAACCGTCGCATGATGATAATATCGTGCGACGTTGACCACCCCTCGTTCGGTGGCTTCTTCAAGTAGTTCGCCTTCCTCGTCGCGCTCTGTGTATTGCCAAGAATCTTTGACAACGAGTGGAGTCCCGGGGTCATCTTCACGATGCGCTTTCCAACATGTCGTTGCTCGACCTGCAATGCATGGTGCCCGTGTCATCAATCTCTCGAGGACGAGACGTTCGGTCTGACCGTTCTGTTCTATTTCGATGGTCCGCTGGCCATCTTTCGTGATGATTGTGGGGTCAAATCCACAGTCTTCCTCGCTCATCCATAGAAACCCGAGAATAGTCGACACAAACTGGAGCCCATCCTCATTTATGTCAAATCGTTCGGATGCGACTCCTCCAAGACGATCAAAGGCCCATATTCTCATGAAGGAGCCACATATTGTAAAGCCCAGGACAAAGCGACGGGTATCTTGAGCTGCGAGGACTTCCCTGGCATACCTTCCCAGGTCAAGCCATGCTTTAGAAGCGGTGTCGGCGGCAGGGTTGCTTTTTAGCTCTCCGGGCACGAGAATCTGTGACCACTGACATCGGGTGTCCTTTTCAGCGCTAGTGTCACTCACGAACCCGATGTCTAGCTTGCGCTCTGCCGTGGAACCCTGGACGGGTTTGTTGGGCTGTGCGAGTGGCCTTCGCAGGTGTGCCGAAACAGGATTGTAGTCTGCTGAGAATGTTACTAGTTTCTCGTTCAGATCTGCAAACCAGCTCAAAACATCTTCTTGGTTTGCGTTCTTTGGCCATCCTTTCCACCCATCTGCAAAAGCCGGATTGCTGCCTTCAGTACATCTTTGAAATACGGCATCGGATGCAGATTGAAGACCGCTGACGCCTCCAAAAAATGTTGATCGAAAATGCGGGAGCCCTACATACAGGGGTCCCAGCTCGGACTTGAGCACCCTGTCAACATCTTGGCGGTATTCCGAAGAGTTCGCAAAGCTACTCGTCTTGTGGAGCCATGGGGTTTGCTGGAGTGAAGAGGCAATCGTTCGAGGCGGCGTAGATTCCGCTGCGGCAGCGTCCACAAGATTCCAAATTTGTTCGTCTGTTGACGTGTTCACAATAGATATTTTGAGCAGCGGTTTGATTCGTTCGTGGTCGAAATCATTTGATGCGACGGCAGATATGAGTCGAAGCAGGTTACTGCGAACGATTCCTCCCGAATTGGACGGCAGAAGGCGGGCGGTGGGAATGATTTGAAGGGCTGTAAGTAGGCTGGAGGCGAGATCTTGCACATCTGCACTCAAGTTAGCAAAAAGGAGGATTCATGATGGATTCCTGTGCCTCACCCTCCCGCTTAAGCCGATCGATGGCCTCGTCTGGTGAGCGCAAGTCCGCGCCTTCACAGATCGAGGTGAACGTGGCACGAAAGCCGTTCAGGCCATCCCCGATAGGGTGTTCTAAGATTACCCTCGATCTTATTGGATCCGACATGGCACAGTCCTCTGTGTACCACCATGTTGACTTTGAAGAGTGTGGTTCGAGAAAGAGAGAGGAAAGGGGGACGCGACGGTGAACGCAACGTCACGTGACTATAATGACTAAAGATTAGTTATACAACTTGTCGGAACGTGGTCGTTACAGTACGGACTAGTACGGGCATAGCCAATTGAGTACTTGAGAGTCTCTTTCCATATACTAAAGAAAGTGCAGAATAAATAGGGGATCGAGCTTAGTAAGGTCGTTGAGAGCCTTACGATCGTCAGGCAGAGGGGGTGCCGAATATTCCTCCGGCGCACTAGTAACCTTGCGACCCTCTTTTGATGACACAACTTTTTGAAGACATTTCAGTCATTTTAGAGCAAAGGCGCAAGTTTTGCCGAACGACATATGTGATCCTCAGCTATTTTGAGCTATGTAAATGATGGTGTACATATCGCAATGGCTACTCAATCGCATTTGCGTTCCTTAGGGGGCTATTAGAGGTCTGCATTAACCCGAATTTGCGCAACTTTTTTCTGTTCATTGTTCGATGTTCGGGAGAATACTGCGGGTCCAAAAGTAGTTTACAAACACTCTCTCCTGGTTCAACAACCTCTTCTATGTACAAGATGTAGCGCGAGGAAGCTACCTTTCCTTTCCTTCCTCGCGCTACGTCTTGTATCTAGAGTCGAATATGGCTTTGCTGATTATCTATCCATGTACGAAGCACAGTCCTCATTTACGTATACGTGAGACCCTCAAAGTACGTCCTCGTGTAGAGATCATATCCCTATAGTTTACATAGTGAAGTTCCTGGCC